GTGGGGGTAATGGTATGCTGTGCTATGGCGCATGGAAGCAGGTCACCTCTAGTCTTTGTTAGGGGCAACATGAATGCTCATCGTTTCATCCACGAGATTGCAGAACCCCATCTTTTGCCATATCTTCAGACGCTCCCAACCCCCTTTTTCAACAGGATAACACCCGTCCTCATGTTGCACGTTTTAGTTTAAATCAATCTGAGTCAATATTTTGCCATGGCCACCCCGTTCACCTGACCTTTCACCCATTTAACATGTATGGAATTTAATGGGTAAAAAGCTCACAAAGTTAATGCATCCTCCACAGACCCTAGAAGCTTTACGACATGAGGTACAGCTCGCATAGGATGCGGTACCTCAGCCGAATAAAGATCGTCTTATCAGATCCATGCCAAGACGAGTCAATGAGTACATACGTCTTAGAGGTGGTCAAACCCATTATTACTAAAAACTTGGTTCTTCTTTGATTTTTTAACTTGAAATTTTCATCGATTGGTCACCGATCCTCTGTAAATATGTGGTGTTAAAATCATTATAAAATTCCAACTCGTTCTTGGTGTTCGGTTTTCAATGTCGGTTAGTATATATTTAAATTTTTATGTTCGATTTTCTAAATATTTTCAACATATACAGTTGCGGCCTTCCAAAAGTACACGATAATTTTTTCTATTGTAAATGTATATATGTTCAAATCATGGGCGTTCGAATAACAAAGTTTGTCAAATTTGACATTTTGTTTATTCAAAAATGCTACGTCACTGGTAATAGCCAGAGCCAGACTTACATTAATTTAAAAATTCAAAAAATTCCATGACAACGAAAAATCGTGCACTTTTGGGGGCCTGCAACTGTACATCGCTACATAAAAATTGTATGTTGATTGTCTTTTGTTTTAAATTATATTGTCATTGACATGTTTTTAAGTGGCAACTTACTTTTTTTTTTTCTTTGAAGAGTGAAAATTTTTGAAAGTTTTTCTACAGCTATAGAAAAAACCTTTGATTATGCTAGATTTTTTAGCAAATAATGTTTTTTAAAATATAATACGAGTGTGGCGATTAAAATTAAAAAAGTTTTTTCCACTAACTATTCCTGTTGAAGAAAATGACAATGACGACTCTCAAACAAGAAATCATTTTAAAATTTTTATGTAAAATTATGTATTTCCAAACTACAAAATCTATTTCTATTTTACTTGAAAGATGGAACGTGTGAGTCATAAAATCTTTCCCCTGAGTTAGCAATAAACATAAAAGATATGATCAATCTATACTATTATCTGTTTTTTAATTAAAAACTCGCTAACGTTGCAATTTCCGCGGAAAGTATTATCGGCAACACTGCACTGATTTGATTTAGGGAATTTTTTGACATCAAAAATTTTAAGGTTATTTTTGAAAAGTCATATTTTTACTCAAAGTACAATAAAAGTTAAGATTATAACAGCGATAAGAAACAATAATAGGTTACTAGTACTGCCCTGTAAACTTGTCGTTGCTTGAGGAAATTCCACAGACATAGCATCGCCATCACCTTCTATTTCAGCGAAATCATCGTCAGTTACCCTCTCATCATCATCTGTTTCGTCTGTATCAGAGTCTGCTAAAGAAATTATGACTGGTGGAATACTATCTAGAGGAAAATTGCCCATTTCTTTGTGCCAGTCTGCTAGAATTAATTCTTCACAATGCCGAATACTATTTTTCCACATTTGTGAATCAAAATTATTTAAAGCCTCCAACCACAAGTGCGTTACTCGATTTTTGTCTTCAGTATATTCGTGAATGTTTTGATTATAATAACGTTTGCAGTGTGCCCATGCCAGTTCAATAGCATTGTATTGACAATGGTAAGGTGGAAGTCGAAACACATCAATATCATGCTGTTTCAAAATGTTATCAATTTCATATTTTACAGGAGTATCAGGTGAAATTGTGGGCTGAATTAAATCCCATAAATCTTTTTTTGTAAATTTTGGATCAAGTGCAATGTTACATTTTGTTAAATATTCCTGCATGACAGTTTTGTTTGAAGACTTAGTTGGTGGTTTATCTAATTTTACGGAGTGATAGCTGGCATTATCCATAATCACGACTATTTTAGAACTTTTTGAAAAATTTGGTGAACAAATTACATTAGGTATAAATTGGTTTAAAACCCATTCTTTGAACATACTGGAATCCATGGTTTTATGATAATCTCTATCATTATTCGTAGAGTGTAAGAGGAAGCTACACCCATTTATAAAACCCTCTGAGGATCCAGCATGCAAAACCGTAAAACGCTGTCCTTCAAATTTTGTGGCTTTATAGTTTTTTGTGTGCATATTGTCATGTACCCATGTTTTTAACTGGGAACCATGCTTGTAAATCCAAGTTTCATCGAGGAAAATGAATTTAACGTCTGGATAATCTGCTTTATATTTCAGGTAACATTTTAGAAATTTGATTCTTTTAGCAACTATATCAGGTCTTTCTATTAAAATTTTTCGATGATTTTCATACTTATATTTAAAACCCATTGCTTTAATTATTTTATATAGCGTACTTCGCGATCCTGTGCATTCTAAATTCTTTTGTGCAAATGAAAGAAGCGTATCCAAATTAAAATATTGCCCTGTTTCTTTGTATTTTTGAATTTGCCGTCCCAACTCTTCCCTAAAAAAGTGATCCTCGAATGCTGCAATTTTTTTTCTCCCCCCTGAACTTTTAGATGAGACAATTGGTTTGCCCGTTGTATGGCACTTCAAAATAGTTCTTACCGTGGACTCAGAAACCTAATTTAAAATATTGATAAATATTACGTACTGAGCATATTTTAGTACCGAAAAGACTGTCTTTAAGTGTTCATGCATTTTTCTTCCAGTTATGGCTGGCTCCAATGTCAAAATTAAGTGGTAGCAATTAATGAGTGCCATTTTCAATTTAGCACTTAAAAGATTTCGCGTTTTGCGATGCATTTTTTGTTCTTTCAAAAATTAAGAAATTTTTGAATGACGGGCTCTTATTGAAACTTTCAAAAAACAGGCGTGCCAATGAAGTATGGAATAACACTACATAGGTTTTTTTTTTTGTTATACCAACTTGATTCAACAGGTGGTGAGTTTTTAAAATAAAAATAAATTATATTAATAGAAATAAATCTTGTTAGAAGTTTTTATGATTTTTTAGTTTCTACTGTATAGGTATTTAATTTGTGAAGTACGCACAAACGTACATGCCTGTTTATATAAATGCAGTATTCTATTGAACAGATATATTTTCAGATTGATAAAATGACCACAAACTGTAACCACTCGTATATTGCTACAAATACAGCAACTAAACTAAATGTAAAATTTTCAGTTGCCGACTTATGTTAGGATCCTATGACCAATCTCTGTGTAGACCAAAAGTAAGAAGAAAATAAAATCTGAATTTCTGTGAAAATTAGCTAAATAATTTCAGTAAAAAAAATCTCCTGAATCATAACACAGTTGGCCCCTTCACTTTAAGCCATTTATCTATGAGTGATGGCGTTAAGCTCTTTAGGCGTATACCTGCTCTCATCCCCAGTAAACCAGAAAATTTCTCAGCTTGAAAAATATTTCCGAATCTGTTTTTTCGGCATGTGTTTTAGAGTTTGTTTATTATCCGATTTTCATTTTTCAAAAACTTATCTACTACAAAATAAATTTACTACAGATGTCTGTAAGTAAAATTTGGAAATTTTACTTACAAGTTATAAATAATAAAAGCACTCAAAATTTCAGGAATTGTAAAGCTTAAAAAGTATGTTCAAATACAGTTTTTTCAAAAAACTAAAAATCAGATCTATAGAGTTTTTTCCGTAGATTATACATACGAAAAATTGTTGTGATTAGACCAAGGGTTTTCTGTAAAAGACGTGCCCCGTTTTACATTATTTCCCCTTTACTGAAATCTACTTCAGCTCCCCCTTAAAAGACAATATTCGTTACTGTTTAGAACAAGAACTGTAGTTGCACCAACATTGAAGGAACATCTAGATTATTTAGGATCGTTGGCGGAATTTTCTTTTTTTATGTCCCAGTCAGTTTGGAAATTTAAAGTAAAATTTCCCAAAACATTGATTAGAGCTCTACAAAATATAAAAAATTTGCGAAAGCCTTGCTTAACTACATTTTGTTTGTAAAATAAATAAATTCAACTAAAAAAACATCAGAATTAAAAGATCGTTAAATAGGTCTGAGAAGTTTAAAAAATGTTATTTTCACCTCTGGGGATAAAACTTGACTAAAATTTGTAATGTAATTAATCCCTAAAAATTGGTTTGTTACGTTATGAAATTATATCATTTTGATCGCTAAGGCAAAATCTTATTAAACTGAAAAACAGTGTAAAAAAAAACTTTCTTTCCTTTTATTCGTTGCTTGAAAACAAAAAGCTTCATCGACAATGAAAAGAGAACAGTGTATATAGCTTTCGATAATAAATAAATTTTGCAGCTTTGAAAAAAAATGAGATACCTATTCATGCATTACATCAATGAAATAAGAAAAAAAATAAAAGGAAAACTTGAAAAATGAATAACGTACACCATATAGAATACAGTGCCTCCAGATTCAGTATAAAACCTCAACAAAATAAGCCACTATGTTTATACAGTGGGGTTATGCTTCACTAGTTTCGAAAGAGTAAAACTACAAATTTTGATAAACTTAAGACGTTATTGAAAGTATTTTTAATAATTTGAACCTTTACAAGAAAACGTATTTGTTTTAGACAAATTTCCTGAAATTAATTTAAGAAACAGGAATTTAAATTTTTTTTTATTCTTTCTGCAAAAGGTTTTAATCATATTATGTGCCATTATGAACCATTTAAATGGGACCGCTTTCATCTCCAATGGCACATTAATGATTAAGTGGCACTCGCGTGGGGCAAAAACACGAAAGCAACGTCAAGACAATAGCAATAACTCTTACAATCAAGTAGGTGCTTGCGGCTTTCTCAAGTGAATGATAAATTCGAATGTTTTAGGTCTCGTGGATTAGAAGAAAGGATTATCATTTACTCACAGTTGGATTAACAACATACAGCAGTGACGAGAGGTTTCAGGCTATACATTTGCAACATTCAGGGGTGAGTAAAAAGTTTTACGGTCGGCGTTGTGCCCACCTTTTCATTACTTAATCCTGAATACTTAACTAGCATAAACTTTGAATGTTTTATTCATGGCGTATCCCGTGTACGTCTATACAAAGAACGTCTTGTTTCGAATTTTTTCTTTCTCCCTCTTTCGGAGGAAAATGTATTTTGCTACTTGTCACTTAAAGCGCGTAAGCTTTTAAAAATTTCTATGATCGATGGCGTAATTTAAAAACGTTTTACACTCATGTCTTATATATTACAACATGGTGCTTTGAGCCTGCCTTAGTGACACTGCATAAGAAGGATGGTGATATGGTCTATTCAGGTGTGTGGAAATTCGATTAAGTGGAATAACAGTTGGCTGAATGTTCGCTAGAGATAGGAGCTAGGAAGCTTCCATGCAAGAAAATAAATTGGAATTAAATAAATGCAGGGAAGTGATGAGCTAGAAGTGTTTAGTGGCCTTTTGTGCACGAACAAGTAGAGCAATACGCATAAAGGCACCTCTTAGAATGACTTATTCTATTGAATTTTCCTTGACACGGTTTAAATCTCCCTTTAATTTATATAAATATTTTAAAATCGTCGCGTGGTTTAAAAATCTGTCGTATGTATCATAAAAATAATAAACGAAGTATTATTCTGCAATTTTGTTATTCATTGAACGCTTTGCCTTTTTTTCGCTCTTAGAATTTAATGATAGATCAATTGTGTTAAAATGTTAATTTGTGAATAATAATAATACTAAAATAATTTTCTTGGCAAATTTCCTGGTTAAGTTAAATTGAAAATCTTTATAAAAAACAAAAACTAATGAAACAAACGTGATAAGAAAATACTGCAAAAATTGAGAAACTTATTAAAATAATAGATATAATTTATGCCATGACACTTAAGGAAAGAACAACGAAAATCCAATTTCTTAGATACTTAAAAACCCCCGACAAAAAATTAACCCTTAAAAAGCCTAAAATTGGTTAGCAGAGAACTGAACTTGAACTCATTAACTCAAACGCAAATGGCGTGTAAGACGAATATAAATCGCCTAATGTAAAAAAAGAACTGAATCACAATACGACATTAAAGAAACGCCATCTATGGGAAGCCTACTTAAAGTCTATATATGTTATTACTGCTTTTTACTCTTTCACCCTCCAAGAAGATGCAATTGGAATTATTGATCAAACCATCGTCGTAAAAACCTTCCCGATTGAATCGGTTTTCAAACAAAAGAAACGGCGTTGAAATCGGTTCATCAGTTTAAGAGGTACGATGCAACAAAGAGAAGCAGACGTTTTTAAAATGATTAAAGTAATTATTGTCAAACATAGCTAAGAACTATCCTGATTAAACCTTCAATTAAAAAACACTAAACGAATAAAGGAAGCAGATAGGGAAATCGGAAAAAGGAAAGGTGGTACAAAATTAGGAGAAAAGGGGGTGAAGGTACTGTTTTGGAATGTTCAAGGGTTGCGTAAAAAGGAAAAGGAGTTCTGGGACTAGGTGGGAAAATTTGATGTGGTGGGGCTAGTAGAGACATGGGTACAAAGAGAAAACTGGGAGAAATTTGAAGAGACACTACCGCAAGAATATGTGTGGGAGTGTCAAGGGGCGACAAAGGAAAAGAAAAAGGGGAGAGCAAGAGGGGGAATAGTAATGGGAATTCGAAAAGAAATGCAAGAAAAGGGAAGTAATAATAAAAACGGACCAATGAAGAAGGTAATAGATCTGGATAACAATCGATGGGAAATAATAATCGTTTATAGCAAGAAAATGGAGCAAACCAAGATAAACATAGAAAAGAAAACAAAAGAAAAAGGAGATGAAAAATACTTATAGGAAGGGATTTTAACGCAAGCCTGGGCGATAAGGGGACAAGAATAATAGATAAAGAAAAGAGAGAGAAAAGAGGATCAAAAGACAAAGTAAATAACAAAGAAGGGAAAATATTGTGGAAGATAATAGAAGAAATGGGATGGGAAATTTTGAATGGAAACAAGGAAGGAGATGAAGAAGGAGAGTGGGAATTGTCAATGAAGAGGCGTGGGAAGAAATAGAGAGTTTCAAAGGGGCGAAGTGTAGAATCAGACCATGCCACTAGAAATAAGAAAGGGAAGGAAAAGGGCAAGAGTACGAATAACAATAGAGAAGAAACGAGAGAAAAGAAATAGAAAAAAGAATATGGGATGAAGAGGGAATTCAAAGATATAGAAGTAGACTAGAAAAAAATAAATTCGAAGTAAAACAAGATATAGAAACTATAATAGCAGAACTGATCAACCTAATTGAAGAAGCTACGGAAAAAAGCAAGGGAGGAATAATGAATGGAACGGAAAATGTAGTGAGTTGAAGGGAAAAGCAAGGGAAAAAATAAGAAAATGGAAGAATAAGAGGGGAAGGAAAGAGTACTTAAAAGCAAGAGGGGATTATAGAAGAAAATGTGAAGAAAGAAAAAGAGAAAAACGAGAATAAAAAGAGAAGACAATAAAGTACCTGAAAACAGAAGAAGAAGTATGGAGATATATAAACAAGGAATGGAGAAGGAAGACTGAAGTCAGTAGGAAAATCAAAATACATGAATGGAAAAGACACTGTATGGAATTATTGGGAGGTTGTGAGGAAAAATGCTGCAAAATAAATAAAGGAATCACAACGACGGAGGAAATGTGGAGAGGTTCGGAAATAACAGAAGATGAAATAGGAAGACAGATTGAAAGACTGAAAAGAGGAAAGGCACCAGGAGGGTTGGAATCCAGAACGAAGCGTGGATGTTCGGGACAGAAGGAGTGAAAGAAAGGATATGGGAAGTGGTAGAGTTTGGAAGGGAAAAGGGTTTCCTCGGCAGTGGAGAGAAGGTATAATAATCCCATTATTTAAAAAGGGGCAAAAAGTGATGTGAAGAACTACCGAGGGATCACCTTGCTCAATACGGCGTACAAGATATACGCAATGATATTAGATGAGAGGTTACGAAAGGAAATGGAAGCAAAGGGTATGTTACCAGACGGTCAGGCAGGGTTCAGGAAAGGAAGAGGTACTATGGACAATGTGTACATCCTGCGACATTTAGTGGGAAGAGAAATAAGGAAAGAGGGTGGAATGTACGCATTATTCATAGATTTCAAAGTAGCGTTTGATAGCGTGAATAGAGAGAAAATGTGGGAAGTATTTGAGGAGAAAGGGAGTAGATGCATGCCTGGTAACGAAAATGGAGGAAATATATGAAGAAACAATAAGTAAGGTGAGAGTGAATGGAATAGAGAGCGAGAGTTTTTATACAAACAGAGGAGTGAGACAGGGATACCCACTCAGACCCGCATTGTTTGCAGCTTCTCTAGAAGATATAGATGAAATGTTCAGAAAACCACAGAAAGGAAGGGTGGTAGTCGGCAAAGAGAAAGTGTGGTCGTTGGCGTACGCAGATGATTTGGTGATTTTGGCAAAACAAAGAGAAAAAATGAAAACAATGATTACAAGTTTCGAGAAGTACGTAGAAAAACAGGAATTGGAAGTGAATGTGGAAAAAAACAAAAATGGTGGTGTTTGGGAAGAAAGTAAGAAAGAAGAAGGAAGAGTGGGCATGGAGAGGGAATAAGATTGAACAAGTGAAAGAATTCCAGTACTTAGGATATACATTAAAGGGCAATAACTCAGATAGAGCGCATATTCAAGAAATGGTCCGAAAAGCGAACAAAGTGATAGAAATAGTATGGGGAATAAGAAAGAGAAAATTCGGACACGATTATAAGAGAGGAATGATAATGTTTGATAGTTTCATCAAAAGTGTATTTATGTACGGAGCTGAGATTTGGGGATGGAGGGAATATGAAGAAATAGAGAGAGAGAAAAAAAAAATTAAAATGGACATTGGGATTGGAAAAGAATACGCCGGGTATATAGTGAGAGAAGAAACAAAAAGGGAGAAAATGAGAGTGGAAGAGGGTAAAAGGGCGGTTGGATTTGAAGAGAAGCTTAGTGAGAGAAGTGATTGTAAAATATTGCAAGAATGTTGGAAAGAAATAAGAAAGGAAGGGGGAAAACATGTTTGGAACGAAAGAGACAAGTATTATGAAGGAAAGGGATATGCATGTGAAGAAATAGAGAGAATGAGAGAAATGGGAAGGAGCATGAAAGAAGAACTGAGTGTAAGAGATAAGGATATAGATAAGCAAGAACGCAGATCGAGAATATCGGAGTCTTGATATAATGCAGAGTATAGAAAAATAGTAGAGGATGAAGTACCAAAATACACAGAGAGAGAGAGTATAAAGGAGAAAAGAATGATGGCGAGATTTAGCTGCGGAAATAAAGAGAAAGAGAATAATTTTTGGATGGATGAAACTGACAGAAGGTGTAAGATGTGTTGGAGAGAGGGAGAAACAATAGAGCATATGCTGGAAGGATGTGAAGGATTGAGAGAATCAGAGGAAAGTAGGGAAGAAGTGCTAAACGAGGATGGGAAAGGACTGGACTGGATGAAAGAAGTACCGAAGATAAGGGAACTAAGGCAAGGGGTGGGCAAGCAGAAAGAATAGAACAATTATATTAATTATATAAAACTCCAATATTTATTTTATTTATTTTTATTGATTTATTTGTATTATGTAGATGAAGTTAATTTGTACCCCTACTGGGAATCTTATTAAGCCTGTAAGGCAAATAATAAATTAATACTACAATTAATAAACACCGCATCGAAATCGGTACATCCGTTTGGGAGCTACAGTGCCACAGACAAATTCACAGACACATAAGCGCTTCGAAGTCAAAAGTAGCTTCAGTGACTACCATTTAACGTAACTAAGAACCATTCCCTTCGTATAAAAAAGAAAAGCACATTGAATCCCAGTAAACACAGTTGCGTCGTAGCGATGTTAATGCCACTTAACTCTGTCTACGATCTTGTTAGCTGTTACATACCAAACTGCGTACATTTGCTTTCCCTGTGCTATGTAATGTAATCAACAGTGACCCATGCTTGTAACATACTG